CCCAGACGGAGTGGCTGCAGGATCAGCTGCCCCCCCCCCCCCCCCCCCCGCCCCCCCTTCTCTTCGTTCCCTCCAACACGACCGTCCACTCTTATGGACCGTAACGATTCGAAGAGATAGCCCCAACAGGGTATCCTTTGTAGCAATATCCTTCCAACTTTACCTTTCCTCCTGCCCCTTTCTGTTCCATCGCGCGCATCACGTGTGACACAGGTGGGGCGGCTATATAAAGGCGAAGGACAAGGTCGCCGTCGACTTACTCATGGACAAGACAGTCAGTTTAGGAGGTAATCAGACCTTTATTGTCACTGAAACGTCGTGGTATAGCACCGTCATTGAAAGAGGAATCGATTTGCTCGCCATACCGTTGACTCAGACTCCAGAATCGTGTTTTAGCAACGGCTGGTCGCCCCGCTTCATATATCAATTAAGACACGCGGGGGACTCCGACTAGGCATACGAAGTTCGCTGTGTTTGGCAGAGTCGTGCGCGCTCGCCGCACATGTAAACGCCAAAGCGTCTTCAAACCGCAAAATAAAAGAGGCGAACGAACGATTTGAAAAACGGGAGAAATCGAAAACGAATGTATCATCGGTTGGGCCATTCTTGAGCAGGAACGGTCTGACGGCGACCTCCTTTGGTTGACAGGACATTAGTGGTTTCGACTTGCCCATCGCCCGATCTAATCGCCCGAAAAGATACACTTTCCGCGTCGAGGTAGTTTACACTAGATTTCCCCGGTAAATCTCATGCACGACATAGGCCTGTTCACTCTACGGTTCACTACGTAGCCCCGTGCTTCGTAAAGTACGCAACAGTTGGCCAATCTGAGCTGAAAAATTATGCAACCTCGCTGCTGCTGCTGCTCCGGGGCGTACAGAACACACATCCGGCATCGCCAACGTCACGGCCATTGCCAGCCATCACGGTGACACCGTCGGGTCCGGCCACTGGACGGCTAGTCACAAGCTTGCCGACGACCGCTGGGCTACCTTCGACGATGAGATGGTGTCCGTCTGCATTGTAACCCCCGTGTCCAGCCAAGCCAACATTGGCCAGACCAAAGGCAACAAGAAGAAGGTACTCCAGGGCAGTGCAACGACTGCAGTGGTTGCAATACATCCGCCCCGTCATGAGAATCGTAAGAAAATATTGGACGCATGCTGCCCCGCACGACACATCGTTTAGGGGTAGAACGCGTCCACCGTTCGAGCGGCAGATAGACACGGGCAAACCTCTTTTGGGGGCAAATTGTTGGCTCACAGGATTGGTTCATGGAATGATGTTTTGGGGTTCTGGAGACGAGCCTGCTTCGAGCTCATAATTCACCCACAGAACGCTTCTGCCGAAGCCAATGCGAACGCGGATCCGTACCTGTGCCGGCGTACATACGAATGTCCCGCAAGCGCGGGGGCACTGCCTGTGAATAGATAGGTGAAAGAGTCAGATATCTTACCTTTGATTAGCAACTACGAGCAAGGGGTTATTATTGAACACTGGATGTACAGGCGGTTTTGGGCGGTAGCCAAGGGGGTTTCAGACGAGCGACTGGAGGGCAAAGGTAAACCAGTGCGAAACGTGACCTCGGCTAGAGCGACCGTATTCATGATGACCGAACCGACAACTGGGTGCAACATTCAATCGACCCTGTTCAAATTTCAGCGGCCCGAGTGAATGGGTCCTTGTCTGCGAACGACAACGACTTGCATCCCCTCTACCTACCATTGGCATCTATACGGGAGTGCCTCAAGGTGCCAGACCCCGTACTTCAACCTTGAAGAAAATCTGCTTCTGTTTGAATGAATCTTATACGAAAACACCACGGCGTTCAGCAGTCGGTATTCTTGTTTGCGAACGATGCCATGGACACGGTGTTGAGAAGAAGTTCCGCGGCTATTCGATTTTCTGCCGTGCGGTGACATGGAGGAGGGCTTTGGATGCCCGGAAATGGAAAAACGTTGGTACAATTTGGACCGTAATCTGAAAAAACATGGGCAGAAATGGGCACATGAAAAAGTAGTAGCCGGTGGGTACCCACCTTGATGTGGGACAGAAGTGGACACTATGTTGAGGCCTTGGGCGCCGCCGCGGTATTTGGGCCAAAGATGTGCCTGAAAGTCGGAAAAATTGATGCCACCCGTGGTGTGTATGGTCCCTGGCTACCAATGTAGTTCAGGTGCCAAAATGGGGTTTCGAGGCGTTTGGAGGTAACCAATATACGCTGTCTGCGCGAGCTGGATTTTCGAGTGCCCACTTTTGTCCGGGAAAGGGGTTGATATTGCCACCTTTGTCTGTTTCGCCTTTAAAACGCCAACGCTGTTTAACCCTCCTATAGTGCAGTACTGGAAACAGGCCCAGATGGGGACACAGCCCTCAAGTGCCTCTTTACCGCACCGTAGTCACCCTAGGCTCCGCTGTGCGAAACGCACATGAGAACTCTTGGTCATTTATGCTTGGCTGAGGTAGTACGCTGCGTGAAACGTGGTGTGATGCCTCTCCTCGGCCTCTGACTTGCTGCACACCATATCCCAAGCCGCGCGTGTGTCCCCTAGGTCGTGGAACTGTACATTGCCTGGTACAATGGAAAAATTGCTGACTTGGCTTCAGTGTGAAAAGTGTCTCCACGTGTTTCGGGGACACTCTTGATACTGAAGCCAAGTCAGCAAATACCCTATTGCGGAATGTCTCTTAGACCCCCCTCTTGTAACCCAGTGACTGCTGTACCCCGTACCACGCAGCCAGTTGGCCATGCTTACATGAAGCCCGGCTGGTGTTGATGTCCGCCAAGACAGCACTGACAGTCGGTATCTTCCGTCCCCGTAATTTCCACGTTATCCTGTGCTTGCCCTTGTCCGTCCTGCTCCCGTCCCTGGCTCCGCTGCGTGCTTGCCGGTGCTCTGATGAGTGAGACCTCGCGGCGAACGGCACGGCCGCACTGCCTGGCCGGATGTGTGGGTCTCTTGGTTGCTTCCACCCCCGTGATGGTTGCCCCAGAGGAAGTCTGCACCGGCGTCCAGCCCTCCCCTCTCGATGTTTGCTTTTATTACTGCTGGCCGATAGTGTGCTTCGCGCCCAACATGGCGATATGGCCTTGGCCAATGGCCGCCGAGGTTCGCGGTGCGCAATCATTTTTTTGGTTCACCCGAGCTCGCGCGCGTCAATCAGAAAATCAGAAAACTTTGTGCTTGGTTCCAAATTATGAAATACGCTCCTTTTCGGAAGTTGCGGCGGGTTTGTGTTCCCGGCTCCCCATACCTCATAGAAGTACCAACTTTCTGCCGTAGACATTGGCCTTGTAACGTCTCGAAAAGAGCACGGGGGAGGCCACGAAGGTGTTGAAGTCGACGACTAGTAGCTCTGCGAGGATATGATAAAGTGGGTCCATATGTCCGGTGTGTGCGCTATGCATTCACATCTTCCACAAAGACGCTCGCGGGTGCAGCATGTGTCTACGGCAGGTGTACCCAAGAGCGCGGAAGGACAAAGAGCTGCTGCCTCTACTGGGTATCGATGGCGATGATGACGGCTTCAAAGTCGATTGCGCGGGTTATAAAGAACGGAGGGCTTCTCGCGGGATTCCCGCCAGTACTGGCTCTTCTCACGATAACGACAGCAAGGCAACGGGGCCTATGATTATGGCCGTCTCGATGGAGAAATGGGCAGCAGCGACAAAGACTGCGAAAAGTAGTACCAGCTTCATCATTTTCACACGCCACGTTCGGGGCTCTGGCGGAGCCATTATGCCGTGCTTATAGAAAGCATCTTGGTGGGTGGGCAAGGATGAGTGAGCCATTACAAGAACAGACGAGTGATTCACGACAGCACGATACGGACACTGCTGTTGTTTGCAACCCAGGAGATGCAGACTGTTCATTGTGGGACACAACAACGCCACCGATTCGATTGATTATCATAAAATCTGAGTCGCCAAGTGCTTGTTCGTGTAGTTCTAATCGCAACCAAGCCCGAGCGTATGCCAGCATTCAAGCAGACTTCTCCATCTTCAAGCAGAATTCTCCATCGCATATTCGCCGTGATCAGGCAGCAGTTGAAGACCTAGCCGGATATGGTGGTGAAAGACGGGGATTGAAGCGCTTGTTTGTCGCTGACACCTTCTCGACTGGCCCTTCTGTCCACGATCTTCACCCCATCCGGTCGCCGCTGTAGCTTACGACGAAATAGTTCATTGGTAAACACGATGAGGATGCCTTCACGATGAAAATGCTTGATCCGCTTCCAACAACTTCCCATGTGGCAGGTTTATGTCCCGTGTGTGACTCAAGCTACGTATACGCGTCACAAAATATACGGAAACGTGTAGAAACTGGCGTCCACATAAAATTTGCCTGGCTGTAGGCTGAAACTGTTCCACGGTATAAATCCCGGTACGTGAGGCGGGTATCATGGTGGTTGACAGTCGCACTTTCCTTCAACGTAGCTCTCAACGGGGTGCTGAAGGCCGATTTCGATTTGGACTGCGCGACCAAAAGCAAGCAATGGTGCGTTCGCCATGGAAGCAATCTGTCAGCGACGAACTCACCGCAGTAATCGTCTGAACTTGCCGGTGACCAGGAGGAGGGGACTAAGGAACAGAGAGGTGGGGAGGGAGAAGCTTCGACGGTGTCGCTTGATCGGGCAACTGGTAACTTCTCCAACATCGTCGAACTACATCCCTTGCCCCGGGCACTGCGGCATCCTGCCAACCTTACGACCGAGAGCTACGGGAAAAGGAAGACGGGTGCTACCCAGCCCCTACGCTTACATTTACAGAAACTTTTCAAGCCAGCGCAAGATCCCGCCCCATCACGTTTCCGCGTACCGAAAGTTATTTGGTTGTAGTTGATAGCACGAGGACCATACGCGCGGTAGAACGTGAAAACAATTAGTGGAAGCGGGAGATAGCCATCCAGCTCGTAGAAGCGGGGGGTTGAGACGTGAGACTTTGGCGTGTTCTCTAGCCGTTTCGAACTTGGTTTTTATCTTCCACGAACTGCAGTGTAGTGTGTAGAAGTTAGCCGGCGCCGTTGCTGCATCTTGCCGGGCGAGTGTACTCTGTGGCAACGTTTGCCTGTTGTGTTTGGCTTTGTACATTCATCGAACGCTTTGCTATTGAATAAAAGCAGCGCACGGGGTTGCGGTGATTTCAAGGCACGTTTATTCCCATATCCTCGATACTCCTGCTCACTTGGGAACACTGCCATTTTGAATATGTAGAAAGTAGTGGTTGTGGTATTCTCGAAGGGATGGGGACCCCAAACGGGTAAGAAGGTTGGACGTCTAGTAGGTGAATGAGCCCCCTGGATTGAAAGGGGTCTGTTCTCGATGTTATTAACCCGACACGGCATCTCCGACCAAGGGGGTGAGTTGGGCTAAACTGCCGTATCCGTTGCAGTTTTTCTCCCACTCGTCCTGCTCTGTAGTAGTCTAGATGCAGAAAACGTCTACCCAAATAGACTGAGTTTGACAACGACCTCAATGGGATTAGCCCCGTCTCGCATCGATCCCCCCCCCAAAAGCCCCCCCCCCCGTGTTTGCCATCGGGGTTGGGTTTTCGTCGCTTGGCAACGACGTTGTAAAACAAACCAATTCACTTCGTGAACTCGGCAACCAGGTTACCGTTGTTGTTTTTTTTTTCCTCAGGTTTTTTTTTGGCGGTAACCATAATGGCTGTCTCTTATACACATCTAGATGTGTATAAGAGACAG